GTCCCAGTCTGGCCACCTGTGTGAGTAGTGGTCCCAGTCTGGCCACCTGTGTGAGTAGTGGTCCCAGTCTGGCCACCTGTGTGAGTAGTGGTCCCAGTCTGGCTCCACCACTGGTCAGAGAGCATGAGTGCTCAAGCAGCATCATGAATACCAAGGCCAACACGTAAAAAGCTTAGTTTAGTTGTGTTGTGACAAATTGTGGAAAGGTTCAGCGGTGTGGAAGACGTTGTTCACATCTTCTCTGTCCAGGAGAACACCAGATGTTTCAGAACTGAKGAAGCTCCACTTCCACTGACATCAGATCTGCCCTCTCCTGGATCAGTCTAATCAGATGGTTGTTCATCGTTTTCCTGTAAAGTCAGGACTAATATCCAACGTTGYATTAAATTTCAGGGATGTTAATCGGTCGGTTCTATCATGAAACTGGACAGCCGACGGACACCTTGCTGAACGTGGAGAAGATGCTAGCAGAAGGTCGGCACCTGAAGGCCCAGTCTGATGCTGAGAGAGTACGATTCCCACCCTGCAATTCAGAGTGGACTGGCAGRGGCGGGAGGGTCTGGTGCTCCCCTAAGAGGTATCCGAACAGATCTGCTTCATCTGAACAAAAGTATTTTTTAAGATTTACAGAGCAGGTTTTATTTYCTTGCAGTGGAGGAGTAATCAGAGAGTGGACAGGTGTGCCTCGGAGGCTCTTCTCTCCAGCTTCCAGTGTTCAGTGTGTTTGTGTTAAAGATGCAGCAGAGCAGGACCCCAGCCTGCAGGAATATGACGGCTGTCCGGCTGACGCAGACTCCTGCGCTGTGGGAGAACACTAGTCTTTGGACCAGTTCAGGGGAAACACACCCTACAGCTCAGACAACCTGTTCAAGAAGACGAGTCACAACCAAGAAATGTTTGTTTTTCCATGAGCTTTATGTAAAGTTGTCCTCCCTGCTTCTAAAAGAACACACCAGGAAGAGACCGACTAGATATCTGAGCATACAGATACAATACAGTGTGCATAAAAGATYAAACAATGTGCATAAAAGATTAACAGAGCCGAGATTTAGGTTTGTCACAAYGACAAGCACAAACTGCATTAAAGTACAAAACTGTTGTAGTGGTCAAAAATATCACACTTATCTGTACAATTTAACAATACTTAAAGAAGCCCCGCCCCTCTGCTTCAGTCCACATTCTCACCACTAACCAGAAATGTCACGTGATCGCCATAAAGTGCACCTGTTCGGCTCAGGAAACGAGAAGTGTTAACAGGAGGGGTTCATGATCAGACCCAGCAAAGGTTCAGGGCATGGAATGTCATTTAGTGAAACATTTTAAGGACATGGATTATGATTGGTCAACATAAAGGCTACAAGATGCATAGGCAGAAGAGGCATTTCTGTAACGGACGACTGAATTTGTTCGGTGGTTTTTCCTGATCAATGAGGCTCCAGGGTCACATTTCATTTCATTTACAGAACTACACAGAAAGTTATACCCAAATAACCACTTTCTAAATGTCTCCTATTTCCCTTAAATTAATGTAATCTTAGAATTATTAAACCAAGTCAAGCTKTGTTGGGTTTTAGTTGAATTTCATTGAAATCCATCACGTCAAACCAGTTTCATGGAGCCACAACAGAAGTGTGAATAATAGTGTTAACTGTGTCAAGTTATCAAAAAAACATTTTCCCATTCCAGCAGGGCTGACAGAAATGTAATGTTTGATATGCAGWAATTATTGTCAGAAATGTCAGTGAACTCTGTGGATGATGGATGAACATGGRCAAAATTAAACCCTACAGGTGACAAAGTTGGACTGAAATATTACACTTGGTTCCTGCYCATGATAACAGGAGCCAGTCTTCACAAAGATCAGTGATCTTCAGAAACACACACCTCCTCCTGCATCACTGCTGCTTACATCTGACAGAAGATGTTTAATCGAAACCAAAAAGACAACGGTTCACTTTCTATCTGAATCGTCTCTAGAAGATTAATAGTTTTTCATAGGAATAGTATAAAGAGTTCCTGCTGCATCTCCTCTCTTCAGATGATCCTGGAAAGTTGTGCCACGTCGGGCCTCCAGCAGGAGGAYGGGAACCATGCTGCTGCAGCGTTAAGACACCCCGCCCAGAGTTAGAACATCAAAGCAGATTTCACACACCCTCACAGGCTTGTTCAAATCAAACTTGATGATGGGCATCTCCTTTAGAGAGCACTTGTGGCACAGCAGGCGCCCACAATGACGGCTGGAGAGAAGAACAAGATGATCAGACAGTTACACACAGACTGACAACACTGCATTATTATGGGTGGAGTGGTACGCCCAGGTCAGGCTCATGGTATAATTCAAGAAAAAAAGGCCAAATCGTAGGGCTGGGCGATAAATAGATTTAATCGATTAATTCAAATTTTCTATTTATAAAGATTTAATTTTTGGAAAACTGAGATTTTTTTCCCACCAGTGCACTCTTTGGGACTTCTGTGGTTCAGAGGTCACCCCACCTGTCCCTCAAGACACCTGGTACATGATACGACAATATGGCAGCCAGCAGAGAGGAGTTATCAGGAACTGGTTAGGTTTTACAACCTCAGACTTGGAGCAACAAACACCTCAGGCTCTTGCTATAAAAAGTAGGAGCACATTTTGACACCTGAAACAGGCACTCCTTTAAGTGGGAAGCAAAATCGATTAAAATCGAATTTGGGATGAAAAACAATCGGAGATTTTTTTTTATTTTTTGGGCCATATCGCCCAGCCCTACCAAATAGTAGTTATTATATTTTTTTAAATCAAGTGATATTGTTCTGTCTTGTTTACCGAAGTGTAAATACAATGTGTACCAAACACACTTTGGTAAACTCAAAAACTGAAAAGGTATCGATTAAAACACTTKAGTGTGCTCGTCAAGCTGATCACTGATTGGCTCAGGTTATTAYTATATATTAATTGTCTGGACCTTGTATTTATCCAGTACATGTGTACTCTGAACCGTTACAGCCCTAATATTTATCATAGTGTTTGTATGGACAAAGTCAAATCTAACCAGTGATGCTTCCGCGTTGTAACACCAAACTTTGCAGCACATTCGAAGCAGTTGGACCCGTCACACCAAGGGGGCTCTTTGGTCAGCATATCTGAAACAGTACACATCATCACTGGGTCAGGTACCAGAACACAACTCTGTCTGGGGTTATAGAGCAGAAACCCACCTAAAAGGCGGAAGAGCAACTGTTTGGTTGCGACTTGATAGTTGAAGATGTTGATGCCCTGATTGTTGGTGACTCCCAGTCGAGCACCGGCCCTCACGATGGCACGGCACAGGTTGGCATTTCCTTTCATGTAGGCCAGGAGCAGAACTGGAACACAACACAACTCACACTCATGTCAGAGTCTATAATTAATGATGTACAGTACGTACAAGATGTAAAGAGAAAACTACGGTACCAGTGTTCCCTTCGTTGTCTGGTTTGTCCAGAGGATATTCAGGCATGCACTCCAGGAACAGCTCAAAAATGGCCGCTGCGTTTTCTTTGCCATACTGACCTAATACATGCATTGGTGACTGACCCCTTTAACAGACATACAAAAGAATAAGTATTTAATTTGACCCAACTTTCTTTTAAATGTTACACTTCATTCTGTTAATAAAAGCAAAGCGGTTGTACCTGAGATTGAAGGCTTCAGCATCAATGTTGGACTCGGTCAGAAGGCTTCTGACATTGTTAAGGCGGCCCTGCATCACAGCCAGATGCAGAGCTTAGAAAACAGAAGAGGCAGAGAAAACATGACAAGATTTCAGGGTTTTTATAAGTTTTACAAGTTTTCAACATGCTGCAGAAGTTATATCAACAGTCAAGTAAAGGCATTGAATAAACAGGAAAACATAGAACTACAAGTAACTTATTTTTGTCTGTCTTTACCACATTGATTTTGATGTCTTTTACAGCTTTTATTCCATCAACTGCTTTTATCTGTCTCAACATTTATTTTGTGAGCTTCCAACAGCATAGTCGTGTCAAATTCAACATTTTATTTGGCTTGTAAGAGCTTTAGACATGTAAGAATGTCTTAAAACAAACGTATGCTGCTTTAAAGCCAGCACTGACCATAAACTCCATCTCCCATAATGCATGTCAGTTGTTTTAACCAGCGAAATAACATCATCCCATCACTAAGTTACGGAGCCCTCGAGGGGACATGGGGGATTTTTTTTTCCTTTTGCGTTCCCTTGCAATACCTTTGCGTTCCCTCGCAATACCTTTGCGTTCCTTCGCAATACTTTTGCGTTCCCTCGCAATACCTTTGCATTCCCTCACTATACCTTTGCATTCCTTCAATACTTTTGCTTTCCTTCGCTATACCTTTGCGTTCCCTCAAAATACCTTTGCGTTCCCTCAAAATACCTTTGCGTTCCCTCAAAATACCTTTGCGTTCCCTCAAAATACCTTTGCGT